TATTGAGAGAAGGCCTCTTGAGAAAGTTATTTATTTATTTGGGATTACTACGTATAGCCAAGCTGTCCTAGAACTTATTTTCTTGTCAGCCTCCTCCTAAGTATTTGAATTAAGTAGAAGCCACTTGTTTTGCCTGAATGTATGTCTATATACTATCTACATATCACATGCCTACCTGTGGAGGCAAGAAGAGGGCACCAGGTCCCCTGAAACTGGAGTTATACGTGGTTAAGACCTGCAGTGTGGGTGCTGGGACTAGAAGCAAGGTCTTCTGGAAGAACAGCCAGTCCTCTTAACTGCTGAGCCATCTCTCTAGCCTGAGGAGTTAACAGTAGCAATATTGTAGCCATAGTCTCTTTACCAGGGGGGTGGTAATCGAGTCTGTCAGCCTTTTGAAGCTGTTTCTTTCTCAGTGCTAGGCACTGAGCCCAGGGCCTTGTACTCCACCACTGAGCTAAATCCCAACACCCAACACAGTCTTTTTCTTTTCTGATTTTGTTTTTTTGAGACAGGGTCTGGCTATCTGGGTGACCTAGAATGTATATTCCTCATGCTTTTTCTCTGTCTAGAGTGCTGGGATTACAGGCATGCTTCACCAGACCTGGCCACTTTTGCAGCTTTTCTGTTACTCGGCTTTCTGAACTTCCTGTCTGTGATCTTATCTAGCCTCTTAGCATCCTCTATAGAAATTCTTCTATTCTTCTCCCTGTATAGCAAAAGTGAAATAAAGAGGGTTTTTTTTTGTTTTGCTTTGGTTTTAAATATGGAACACTTCACAAATTTTCATGTTATCCTTGCACAGGGACCATGTTAATCTTCTAGATATTGTTCCAATTTTAGTATATGTGCTGCTGAATCGAGCACAGGAGGGTTTTTTGGTGGTTTGTTTTTGTTTTTGTTTTTTTGTTTTTGTTTTTTTCAAGACAGGGTTTCTCTGTGTAGCCCTGGCTGTCCTGGAACTCACTCTGTAGACCAGCCTAGCCTCGAACTCTCGAACTCAGAAATCCACTGCCTCTGCCTCCCAAGTGCTGACATTAAAGGCGTGTGCCACCACCACCTGGCTAGGGTTGTTTGTTTTTGTTTTTCTATTTTGTTCATTGATATTTGACCTACATGTATGTCTATATGAAGGTGTCAGATTCTCTGGAATTGGAGTTACAGAGTTGTGAGCTACCAAGTGAGTGCTGGGAATCAAACCCAAGTCCTGGCTGGGAAAGCAGCCAGTGCTCTTAACTGCTGAGCCATCTCTCTAGCTACTAGTATTTTTTAAAAAAATACCATTATTCTCGAAATTAAACAATGAGGCACTGTTAGCTTCCGAGGTGTTCTCTTCTAATCTTCAGAAGAGAGAATGGTATGGCAAAAACTGACCTTTACTATGTAAAGAAAACTTTGCATAACAGAGATGGCGTCACAAGTCAGAGGGGAAGGGATTTTACATGATATACTGACACACTTCCACATGTAATAGCAACACTTATGAATGCTATTCTAAATGTTTTATGTGTGTTCATTTCCCCCCAATTTTATATCATCAATCTATAACTTTGAAATTCAGACTGATATCAGTTGCCCACTTAACAAATCCATGAAGATGTCCACTAGGAATCATTACACTTACTGTGTCTAAAACAGAATCCCTCTTTCCTCTCCCACACATGCCCTTTTGCCAATGTTAGTATACAAATTAATCAGTTTTCTTTCTCTTTAAGTTTTATTTTTAGTGTATGTGACATGCATGTGAGTACACATCACACATGTATACATATGTAGTATGTGTAGTACATACCACTACATACATGTGACAACAGAGGATATCTAATCAATCTTGTCCTTTCTACTATGAAGATCTTGGGGCTCAAACTGAAGTCATTGGGCTTGTCAGCAAGCATCCTTACCTAACAAGCCATTTTACTGTCTCTCTTTCTTTGTTTTTGAGACAGCGTCTTGTGTATCCCAGGCTGGCCCCAAACTTACTATGTGACCTAGGAGAGCCTTGACTATCTGATCCTCCTGTCTCTATCTCTGGAACACTGGTGAAAACACTGCCATTCTCTGCATAGACAACGGAGGGGATCAAGTCTTCCAAGACACTGTCTTTCTAGAACTCGACTCCACAGTACCATAGAACTAACTTATAGCAGCCATTCTTACCCTGAGGAAACTTCACTAAAGGGTGGACCCAGAAATCCTGAAATAAGCTGTGGCCTCCCAAAATAACCTTGACAACCAAGAACATTGGTCTGTCAGGTAGACCTTCAAACTTACATCCTCTTACCTTGATATCCTAAGTTTCTAAACTACCTTAATGTCTAAACTATAGCATCGTCTCCTAACCTTCAAAAATTAATATTCTTCTCACAAAACTACTGATTCTAAATCATGACCCATTTATGAATCTATTCCAAAGCTCAAAGTTCAGTAAGTTGGAATTTCTGGTTTTGTTGGAGACTTAATTATGATTTTGTTGTTGTTGTTGTTTTCTGGAAGCTGTCTTATGAGAGGATGTTTTGCTGAGAACAGACACATGGTGTTTTTCTGGAAGCTGTCTGGTGAAAGGGTACGTGATGTTTTGCTGGAGCAGATGCTTGAGAGAATATGCAGTGTTGGGAAATCATATAGGTATAACCCAACAGAGAGTGGACAACGCTCTGACATTGGTTCACCTTGCTTTTTTTGCTGATCTTCGCTTGTTGTGACTTTGTAGAGAGAAGTTCACCAAAGAACTTCTGGTGGTATTCCAGCTGCTTCTAGCCATTTCGGGATACTCATGCTGTTGGCTGGAGCCTTGCTGTTTCTTTGAACTGCTGCTGCTGATTCTTGTTTGCTGTTTTGCTAGTGGACTGGACCGCAGAAAACAAAAATTGGAATTGTCCCAAGGAACTACTTCTAAACAGGTCCACATCCCCCTTGTCCTAGTAGCCATCTTCCTCCCCTACCTTTGGTCGGTGGGCTATAAGGAAGGATGAAGGGTTTAAGAACCATTATTAATTTAGGTTTTGAAAAATATAAGCCTACAGTTTAGAGTCTCATCTGAATTGTATGGACATACACTTTCAATGTGCACAGTCTCCGTAAGGCTCGTGTGTTGAAGTATGATCTCAGTGCAGCATTGTTGGAAGATAGGACTAGACCAAGAGAGTTCCCATCTTATCAACAGACCATTCTCCTGATGGGGTTCATCGCTTAATGGGCTGTTGGAGGGGAAGAGACTTCAGAACGTGAGGCCCATTTGGAGTAACAAGATTGCTGGGAATACATCCTTGAAGGGTGTATTGGTTCTTTCCTTCTCTTGTGTGTGTGTGTGTGTGTGTGTGTGTGTGTGTGTTCATATGTACATGCATGTGGAGGCCTAAGGCAGACAGCAAGTATCCAAGATGGAGAGTTAATTTTTATCTAGTTAGCATACAAAACAATGGGTTTCACTGTGGCATTTTCTTCTTACCTGTTTATCATCACCATTTCATGTCTCCCCTCTTGCTGGTTCTTCCTAGTGGTCACCCCTCTGCTTTCATGCCACTCGTCTATCTGTGTGTCTATAGCTAATTTTACGTTCCACCTGTGGTATTTGTCTTTCTTTCTCCCCCCCATCACCCTCTCTCATTCCCACCTCCTCTTCTCTTCAGTTCCCTTGCTTCTTGCCACGAGTCTCTTGCTCTCAGGTCACACATGAATGAAAGCTTGCAAATGAAAGGAATGTGATTTTTTTCTTTCTGAGTCTGGTGAATTTTGTTTAACAAAGATGATCTCCAGTTCTACCCGTTCTCCTGAAAATCACATAGCTTCATTCTTCTTTATAGCAGATTAAAACAAAAAGACAACAAACCTCTGTCATTTATGTCCGTCATGTTTTCTTTATCCATTTGTGTCTTACGTGCATCTAAATTGATTTCATATTTCAGGCTATTATAAATAGTTCCCCACCTGAGCTAGAGAAATGCTTTAGCAATATAAGAGTACTGCCTATTCTTCTAGAGGACCTGGACTTGATTCCTGGCCCACACATGGTGGCTTACAATCATCTGTAATGCCAGCCCCAGGAGACCTGATGTCCTCTTCTGTGGGCACCAGGTACGCAAGTGGTGCATAGACATACATGCAGGCAAAACAGCTTTACACATGAGATAAAACAAAAATGAATAGGTGAGTAGTACCTCAATGCCCAAGAATGGGGCAGCTTACCCATCTCTTCTAAAGGTCAGCTCTTGAGTAAGCCTGGCCTCCTTCCTGTTGACCCTCTTCTCCTGAGTACTGAATTTTGGACAGTAAACTGATAGACCTGGGTCTGGTCACAGGTACCATCAGAAGCTGTGCCACTTCAAGTCCCCCATGTGCATCATACCTGCGTTTATGTCTGGGAAGGACTGGTGTCAAGAGAAGGCACTTGGGCTGGAGAGATGGCTCAGTGGTTAAGAGCACTGATTGCTCTTCCAGAGGTCCTGAGTTCAATTCTCAGCAACCACATGGTGGCTCACAACCATCCGTAATGGGATCTGATGCCCTCTTCTGGTGTGTCTGATCACAGTTGCTGTGTACTCACATTCATAAAATAAATAAATCTTTAAAAAAAAGAGAGAGAGAGAGAGAAGGCACTCTTCTGGTCACTCCTGTCTGCACACTCAGCACTTCTGTCGCCATTGATTTCTTTGATCTTGCAGCTCTTGTTTTACCCACAGAGTGAGGAACTGTCAGCTTAGGATGGGCTGTTTCCAAGAGCATTCACATTTCTGTACATCTCCCTTGAGGTCTGTTCTCATGAGGTTCACTTTCCTTGTACTCTGGCAGCTTTGCTTTGTACAGCTTCTGAAAGATCTTCACTGCTTCGGTGTGTTAGTTTGCTAGTGAAAAGTTCTTTTAGTTATTATTTATTTAAAAATGTCTTTGGGCTCAGTTGGTGGAGTGCTTGCCTTACAAGTACAAGAACCTAAGGTCCCCAGGGCCCATGTAAAAAGCCAAGTGTGGTGTCCCACTTATAATCTCAGTGTCAGAGAGGGAAACACCAGAGGAGTCCTTGGACTTTCTGGCTAACCAGTGTTGTCTACAGGGTGAGACAAGTAGGAGATCTTGTCTCAAAAAACAAGGTGGAAGCCACCTGAGAAATGACATCTGAGGTTGACCTCTGGCCTCCACACCTATGGGAATACATATCCAAGCACCACACACACATATATGTGCACTATGCATGCCTATGCATGCCATGGGTACATCACAGCCATTCACGTATGTGTGTATAGTCCAGGCTAGTCTTGAACTCACAAAGATCTGCCTTCTTCTGCCTCCAGAGTGCTGGGACCAAAGGTGTGCAACACTACCTCAGAGTCCAACATGAGTCTTTATCTTTGCATTTCAACACAGTGTTGCTTATGGTGCACATGCAGCACCTCTGGATCTTTGAAGTTTTCTCACTTGAACTTCGTTGAACTTCTTGAAGGTGAAAGTTTGTGTTTTGTCAGTAATTCTTTCTTCAAATATTCTTTCTGCTCCTTTTTCTCTTCACCATCTGTGGGATTTGATGACATCACAAACTTCTGACGTTCTCTTCATGATTGTTAATTTTTCTTGTTGATCCTCAAACTGTTTAGTCTCGTTTGGGCATTCAAAGCTTGCTTTCTTCTGTCCACTGATGCCTATTGGTGAACTTTTCTTCTGATTTTCATCTGTTACTATATTTTTTCAAAACCAGATTTTTCTATTCTCTATTTGTTTGTTTGTTTGTTTGTTTTAATTTTGGAGGAGAGGCATGTGCCTCACTGGTCCGATGACAATTTGCAGCAGTCTGTTCTCTCCTTACACCATGTAGGTTCTGGGAATTGAGTTCAGACTGTTAGGCTTTGTGGCAAGGTCCTTTACTTGTTGAATCTTCT